TGACCTCCACCTTTTCCTGATTTACGTTTGTCTGCCGCCCTCCCTGACCTCTGCCTTTCGCTGGATTACACTTATTGTCTGCTGCCTGCCCTGACCTCCACCTTTCCCTGATTTACATTTGTCTGCCACCCTCCCTGACCTCTGCCTTTCGCTGGATTACACTTATCGTCTGCTGCCTGCCCTGACCTCCACCTTTCCCTGATTTACATTTGTCTGCCATCCTCCCTGATCTCTGCCTGTCACTGGATTACACTTATTGTCTGCTGCCTGCCCTGACCTCCACCTTTCCCTGATTTACATTTGTCTTCCACCCTCCCTGACCTCTGCCTGTCGCTGGTTTACATGGATTACACTTATTGTCTGTTTCCTGCCCTGACCTTGGCCTGTCCCTGGATTCTACTTATTGTCTACTGCCCTCCCTGATCTCTGCCTGTCTCTGGATTACACTTATTGTCTGCTGCCTGCCCTGACCTCCACCTTTCCTTGATTTACATTTGTCTTCCACCCTCCCTGACCTCTGCCTGTCGTTGGTTTACATGGATTACACTTATTGTATGTTTCCTGCCCTGACCTTGGCCTGTCCCTGGATTCTACTTATTGTCTACTGCCCTCCCTGATCTCTGCTTGTCCCTGGATTACACTCATTGTCTGCTGCCTGCCCTGACCTCTGTTTGTTCCTAGAATATACTTATTGTCTACTGCTCTCCACAATCTCTTCCTATACCTTAATTACACTTATTGTCACCTGCCTGCCCTGCCCTCAGCCTGTCTCTGATTATGCTTTTTGTCTGTCACCCACCCTGGTCACCACCTGCCTCTGAATTTACTGGTTTCTGCTGAGCAACAGTCCCTGCCTGATACTCCTAAAATCCAAGGGTACTCTACTACTCTTTTCCTATCCTTGCACAGTCCTTCATGTCACTAGGCCAGAGACTGTAGCACTGTGTATTAGGCCCCAGGGGCAACCATGTACCCATAGGTCTGTTTGCTTTAAGGGAACTGGGGCTGCTATAGGTGAAAGTATAGTCCCCAGCTATAGAGTCTCTGACCTCTGGTACTGGGGCAAGCATTACAGTGAAGATGCCTGTGATGAGGGGTGCGGATGTTACTCAGCTGTGCTAGCATAGAGCACTGCAGTGGGAGGGCAGGAAGAAGCATTTTAAAATGGGAAGTAATTTCCAGGTAAATCATAACATGACAGAATACTGGAACCACGTAAACCTCTGGAGCCCCACCCCAAGCAATCTTCCCATTATACTCCGGTGACTCACCTTAAGTGTTAGCATCAAAAGAGTCTGTCCTGACTCTATGTACATACATAGAAATAGGGAGGATAGAATGCCGCAGTCTGAAGGAACAGCTTACAGTTGCAAGAAAAAGTATGTGAACCCCTTGGGATTACGTGGAGTTTTGCGTGAATTGGGCATAAAATGTCCTCTGAATGTCATCTAAGTCACAACAATAGAAGAACACAGTCTGCTGAACATAATACTACACAAACATTAGATGTTGCCATGGTTTAATTGCACATAACATGTAAACATTCACAGTGCAGGGAGGAAAAAGTATGTGAACATTTGGACTTAATAACTGGTTGACCCTCCTTTGGCAGCAATAAACTCAACCAAATGTTTCCTGTAGTTGCAGATCAGACCTGCACAACGATCTGGAGTCATTTTGGACCACTCCTCTTCACAAAACTGTTTCAGTGTAGCAATATTCTTGGGATGTCTGGTGCGAATCGCTCTCTTAAGGTCATGCCACAGCATTTCAATCGGGTTGAGGTCAGGACTCTGACTGGGCCACTCCAGAAGGCGTATTCTATGCTGTTGCAGCCATTGTTTTGTTGAATTACTTGTATGCTTTGGGTCATTGTCCTGTTGCATCACCCATCCTCTGCAGAGCTTCAGTTGGCGGGCAGATGGTCGTACGTTTTCCTGCAAAATGTCTTGATAAACTCTGGAATTCATTTTCCCATCAATGACAACAATCCGTCCAGGCCCTGAGGCAGCAAAGCAGCCCCAAACCATGATGCTCCCTCCGCCATGTTTTACAGTGGGGATGAGGTTTTGATGTTGGTGTGCTGTGCCTTTTTTTCTCCACACATAGTGTTGTGTGTTCTTCCCAAACAACTCAATCTTGGTTTCATCTGTCCACAGTATATTTTGCCAGTAGTGCTGTGGAACATCCAGGTGCTCTTTTTCAAACTTCAAACGTGTTGCAATATTCTTTTTGGACAGCAATCGCTTCCTCCGTGATGTCCTCCCATGTACTCCATTCTTGTTTAATGTTTTCCTTATTGTAAATGTGTCAACAAAAATGTTAGCATGTGCCAGAGATTTCTGTAGGTCTTTAGCTGACACTCTGGGAGTCTTCTTTACCTCATGCAGCATTCTGCGCTGTGCTCTTGCAGTCATTTTTACAGGACGACCATGCCTAGAGAGAGTAGCAGCAGTGCTAAACTTTCTCCATTTGTAGACAGTCTGTCTTACCATCAACACATGAACATCAAGGCTTTTGGAGATACTTTTGTAACCCTTTCCAGCTTCATGCAAGTCAACAATTCTTGATCGTAGGTCTTCTGAGAGCTCTTTTCTGCGAGGCATGGTTCACATCAGACAGTGCTTCTTGAAACCAGTAAACCCAAAACAGGTGTGTGTTTTTTAAGGGCAGGACAGCTGTCAGCAACACATCCAATATCATCACACTGATTGGAGTCAAGGTTGGCTCACTCCTGGCTCCAATTAGCTCTGGGAGAAGTCATTAAGCTAGGGCCTCACATACTTTTTCCTCCCTGCACTGTGAATGTTTACATGTTATGTGCAATTAAACCATGGCAACATCTAATGTTTGTGTAGTATTATGTTCAGCAGACTGTGTTCTTCTATTGTCGTGACTTAGATGACGTTCAGAGCACACTTTATGCCCAATTCATGCAAAACTCCACGTAATCGCAAGGGGTTCACATACTTTTTCTTGCAACTGTAGGTGTAAGGAAGAGCAAAAGTGGCCTTAGCCTGATTTTTCCCAAATCACGCTCCCGACGCGTTTCGTCCTGCCTAATCATAGGCTGGGGCCATGTGACTGGGGCAAAAAATGGGGGGGGGGGATGCGTGACTGGGGAGGAGTCAGGCTAAAACCGCTTTCACACTTCCTTACACCTGGGCTGTTCCTTCGGACTGCGGCGTTCCATCCTCCCATTTTCCCAGAATACAGGTCACAAAGAGATAAAAAAGATGCAAAACTTCAACTGGGCTTTACAGGAAAAACAAAAATAAATCAAAACAAAAAATGCATGTATTATGCTCCCCCTTTTAAGAACATGTTCTTAAATCAGATTTATGTTCCTAAATGTGTACTTTAACATTACAGTATCCACCTGGAATTGAATGATCAGTTTTCGGCGCACTGGCAATTCATCATGGAGGCGCAGTCATCTATTTGCCTATAAATATCTGGGTTCCGTGTTCCGTAAAAAATTTTCACACACGTTTTTCTCACCTCCCTCGCTGCAGTGGCTCTAAGAATAGATCGCTAGCTGAGGACTGACATGAAAACGATGTGCGAGGGGAGATCAGCACGCCGTCTGCCCCGCAGTAATTCTGCATCTCACTAGCGCAACACTTCCAGCAAACTATAAACATAAAATGTAATATATGACGTTCTGAAATCGCCTCCCACCACAAGCATCGTAAAACTGAATTCTAATAGAGAGAGGAGATAAAATGGCTTTAATTGCTTGCTTGTAGACACCATTCAAAGCTGCCAGAATGCAAAACATGTTATGCTCTTCTGAAAATGCTAGGTGCCTGGCTGTCCCTGGTTTCAATCCTTTCTAGGTCATATGGCGAATCACATTTGCAGGTCTGATCCGTATTCTGGTGACCAGACATAGTGAGAAGTCAGAGCTGGGGGGAATCCAGAAAGAAAGGTCTGCAACAGCTACATAGTTTTCTGCCAAATAAATGGATGGCCGCACACTGTAGAAAGGATATTCCGAACTTTGAGACGATACCCAGAAATAAAACATCACAACCCCAAACCTGAAGGACGTGTTAACGCGTTTTATGCTACGGCTATGGGTAAGTGCTCCTTACCGTGAAACGCGTCAACACCTCTCCATCAGCTTTGGTGTTGTGATGTTTTTTTTTTTTTTTGTGGATATCGTATCAATAAAGTTTGGAGTATCCTTGCCACAGTGTGCGGCCATCCACTTGTTTTATTGATGTTTTTCTGCGTTTTTGCGAGCCGCGCTGGCACCTTCGTGTTAGGACTTTAAGAGCGCGTAATGGGTGCGCCAACCTGGAGTGGTGATTTGTTAGAATTTTAGGCCAAGTGTGGACAACCATTTAAGAAGTTATAAGTTATCAAAGCTCCACCTGCATTGTGCTGTGTAGAGGATAGACAAATAATATGGGTCAGATGGGGGTTCTACAGCAATAAAAAAAAAAGAATCCCTGAGCTGATGGGGTCCCTGCATTAAAGTGATATTAAAGGTTCAGCTGTTTTTTGTTTTTTTAACCGCTAGCCTACAGGGTACTTATGCCCCCTTCCTGTCCAGGCCAATTTCCCTCTCTCAGCGCTGTCACACTTTGAATGACAATTGCGCGGTCATGCAACACTGTACCCATATGAAACTTTTATAATTTTTTTGTGACAGATTTATTTTGGTGGTATTTAATCACCTCTGGGTTTTTTATTTTTTCTTAAACCAAAAACCGCTGATAATTAAAAAAAAAAAAAAAAAGTTTTTTCTTAGTTTTTGTTGTAAAATTTTGTAAATAAGTGATTTTTCTCCTTCACTGATGTGCGCTAATGAGGCTGCAGTGATGGCCATTGATAGGCTGCACTGATGGACACTGATAGGTGGCACTGATGGGCATTGACAGGCATCACTGATGGGCACTGAAAGGCAGTACTGATATATGGCATTGATATGACACGGTTAGGTCGCACTGACTGGCACTGTTAGGGGGCACTGACTGGCACTGTTAGGCGGCACTGATGCGCACTGATAGGCAGCACTGACTGGCACTGATAGGCGGCACTGACTGACACTGATAGATGGCACTGATTGGCAGCACTGATAGGTGGAACTGATTGGCATTGATAAGTGGAACTGACTGGCACAGATGGGCACTGATATGTGGCATTGATGTGCACTGGTAGGCACTGATATGTGGCACTGGCAAGTGGCACTGTTCAGCACTGGCAGCTGGCACTGATGGACACTGACAGGTGGCAACTGCTGGGGCTTCACTGATCATCAGGGCACTGATCATCAGTGCCCTGATGATCAGTGTACATGTCCCCTCCGCGGAATGCCGATTACCAGCTCTCCTGTCCTCTCCCCTGTCAGCGTGACAGCTCGAGAGGAGAGAAATGCCGATAACCGGCATTTCCCTGTTTACATGTGATCAGCTGTGATTGGACACAGCTGATCACATGACCGAGCCGACATCTTCGGCTCTTTCCGTGAACGGTGATCCGCTGTGTCCGAGGGACACAGCGCACCGCCACTCGCCGCGCTGCACGCTCAGAATGGGAGGACGTCATATGATGTCCTCCCAAAACGAGAGAACCACCTTGCGCCCGTCATTGGACTATATGGCAGGCGGGAGGTGGTTAAATAACAAACATGTTATACTTACCTTCTCTGAGCAATAGTTTTGCACAAAGCAGCTCCGATCCACCATTACTGGAGCCCCCCACCAATGCTCCTGGCCTCACGGAGGAAGAGGCGTAGCCTCGAAACGCGTCAGCCATTTGGAGGTCTATAGTCTCCTGTAAGACACCTTCCAGGGAGATTGGTCCATGCTGTATTTCATTTGATGTGCCTTTGATTTTTAAACTTTTATACCATTTTTTATACAATAAAAAAGAGGTAATGCACTAGGTCCGTGGGCCCTCTGTTTGTTTCTTTGTATGCAGCTCCTGGCCCCACGCCCTTCTGGCCCCACCTGTACATGCTCGCTCCCAGGCCGCCTCTGTGTGTCCATAAGGCCGAGCGCCCTGCTTTGTCCTTACTGGCTGTGATTGACAGCAGCGGGAACCAATGACTCCCACTGCTGTCTCTCAGCCAATGAGGGAGAGCAGCTGCTCTTGTGCACATCTCTGAATCAGGCTCTGTAAGTATTGGTGGGCAGAGGGGGGGGACTTGCACACTGAAGGGTCTTAACCTTCATGCATAGAATGCATGGAGCTAAAACACCTTCAGTCTTCACAACCACTTTAATTGCAAGACTTAATGTGGTTTTAAAATCATCCCTCTGCTCTCTCCTCCTATCAGCATGTTCCTTGCACTACAGCATAATTAACTGTCTTCTCCTGCTGTTTCTCCCTCCCTCAGACTGAACTTCACTGTACAGGGACTGCAAAAACCTGATCTTCAAATACTTACATTGGTATTAAACCCAAAACCACGATTATAATATATTGCAGCTTTTATGTAGTAGCTGCATTCCTTTTCTTTTTTTTAGGCTTTTCCTCCTCTGTTTTCACCTGGTAATCTGGCCAGTAACACACCTGTATTAGGGTGCCTCCACTCTGGATGAAGAAGCAGAGGGGGCACCTTTGGACAGCAGCATCGTCCGTCATGGGGGAGGGGATTGTTTAGAGGTACTAGCAGATATACACACACTAACAAATTGAAGCCAAACTCCTGATAATACTTTTATAAACAGTTACAGCAACAGTATTTTTCCTTTCGGAATAATGGTTTTAGATAAATAAGTAAAAGATGATCATTGTAAGCACCCCCTGTCAGTAGTAAATTGTCCTAATCCTCTAACTGCAACATCTGCAAGAGAGCTTGTTCTTTTGAAAAACAACAGACTTACCAGCCAGATCACCAGGTAGAAATAAAGGAAAGAATTGGTAAGCTACAATATAATAAAGGTTTGCTTTTGCGTTAACAGTGCCTGCATGTAAGAAAAAAAAATACATTGAATGATGAATACTGAACTGCATTCATTTGTGTCTTCTATATCTGCCTGGAATTCAGCTTTAGGACCCTTTTCTGGTCTTTCTATAGGGTTTGTATAGGCATACCCTAAAGGAAACCTAATGTGATGAATTCTTGGGCATGCTCCAGTAACCCGAATACATCATTTACATCCTATGGCTGAGACTAAACAAATGTCTTTAAGGTGAAAATGAAAATGATTTGGTATCACAGAGAAAGGTCATATCGCCAACTTGGCACATAATGCATGAAGACGATGCTGCCCCCGCGGGGGGAATTGTGGGTGGGGGAGGGGGCTATTAAGCTGACGCATTGGCTTTCATCCTTTAAGTCACTGCCCCAGAACAAATATGCAGATGAGGAAAGTCATATAAAAGTCAGAAGTAGAGATCTGAATATTTGGGTTTGACTATTTATGGTGGAACGCGAGGAAGAAACTCTGTGCCGTGTGCTGGGTCCAGCTTGGTTAACTCAACCATTAGCTGCCCGGCCAATGGCCATTTGGCGGCTGGCAAAATACCTATAGCATTCCGGGTGGATGCCATATGGCGTCCTCCCGGGCATGCGCAGTTTGCGCGCCTGCAGAGCGTGATCGGTCACCGGCCACGTACCTCGGACACGGCTGATGACAGATCTGAGTACCAGCCCCGTTGCACAGCAACGTCACATGACAGTTGTATACAATGGATGGCTTCATTCATGCCATCCATTGTATACTAGTGTGCCTAGCTGTGAATGGTCACAGCGATCACATGAACAAGCTGGGCCAATCACAGCCCAGCTGTGTCATGTGATTAGCCGTGGCCAAATCACAGCTAAGCGCAAAAAAAAAAAAAAAGCCCTGAATGAATCGATGTCATTCAGGTAAATGCTTGCTTATAGCAAAGTAATTATTTGCTATAAGCAAATTGTGTAAAAAAAAAACACTGATCACTTCCCCAAAGTAGTACAATGTTACTATGGTAACATTGTACTACTTTGGTCAAAGTGAAATATGAAAAAAAAAACTTTAAAAAAAAAGTAATAAAAAATTAAAAATAATTTTAAAAAATATTTTTTTTTTTTTTCCATACTGTCACCAGTCAGTGTCCCTGATCACCACCATGCCAGTTATATGATGACGCTGTACTGCACTGGTGACAATATGTAAAAAAAAAATTGTGACTTTTTTTTTACATTTTTTTTCATTTTCCGAAAAGTTATGACAAAAAAAATACAACTTCAAAAAAACTCGCCATGCTTCTTATGAAGTACGTCGGACTGTCTACTCTGCAAAAAGGGGTCATTTGGGGGATATCTGTACCGTCCTGACATTTGGGGGGATATCTGTACTGTCCTGACATTTGGGGGATATCTGTACTGTCCTGACATTTGGGGGATATCTGTACTGTCCTGACATTTGGGGGATATCTGTACTGTCCTGACTCCTGACATTTGGGGGATATCTGTCCTGTCCTGACATTTGGTGGATATCTGTCCTGTCCTGACATTTGGGGGATATCTGTCCTGTCCTGACATTTGGGGGATATCTGTACTGTCCTGACATTCTTGGACCTCAAGAAATTAGATTGGCTGTCAGTACTTCAGGATTGATCAATATTCAGATCTATACCATAGTTTGTGAACTCTATAACTTTCCTACCAACTAAAAAATACATCCTAATTTGGGTTATTTTCACCAAAGACATGTAGCAGAATACATCTCGGCCTAAATTTATGAAGAACAATTATTTATTTGCAAACTTTTATACAGAAACAAAGAAAAACGTGTTTTTTTTTCAAAATTGTTTTGTTTTTTTGTTAATTTAGCAAAAATAACCGCAGTGGTGATTAAATACCACCAAAAAAAAAAAGCTCTAGTTGTGTGAAGAAAATGATAAAGTTTTAGTTTGGGTACAATGTTGTATGACCGCGCAATTGTCATTCAAAGTGTGAGAGCGCTGAAACCTGAAAAATGGCCTGGGCAGGAAGGGGGGAAAAGTGCCCGGTATGGAAATGGTTAAAATCTGCATTGTATTTTGCTGCGTGCCTCTGTTACCTTTTTTTGGCTGTTGTGTGACGAAAGAGGGTCGACTTTTCCATTCAGAAAACATCTTGTATTCCCCCCCTTCCCCCCAACAGAATACAAGGCCTTTTCTGAATGGATGGGATGGAGATCCTGACATTCCTTTGCCCTGCCCTTTATGCATTCAGAGAAAGCCTTGTATTCTGTGATATTTTCTGAGTGGAGGAATTGAAGAAAGAGTGACATGCTTTCTGGAACACAATATTAAAGCTGAACTCAAGGCAGACATAAAAGATCTCATTTAAAGCATGGCCTGCGTTTATTAATACATCGCTGAATGTACTTTTTAAACAATGCAAGTGGCATAAGTACCAGAATCTGACTTTATATCAGCCTTATGCACAGGGCCGTGGATAAGGGGGTACCACCAGTCCTCTTGTATGGGGCCCAGGCCAGCAGGTGGGCCCAAGCAGCTGGGTGAATCAGATGTGGGCAGGGAGGGTGATCGGCACGGTGGAGGGGCAATAACCGGAACCAATGCTCTGTATGGCTTTCTCTGCAGCATCTGAATGCTGGATTCTTCTCCTCTCCCTCCTGTTGGTTTTCAGCTGCTGCAGAGAAAGCCTTACAGGGGATCAGTTCCAGTCATACCCTCCCACCGACCAATGGCGATCACCCTCCCTGTGCCCATCTGATTCACCCAGCTGCCTGGGCCCCCACTGTGCCGGCTTTCCTCCGGCAGCTGCAAGCACACAATAGGATCCTTTAGGATGCAGAGTGGAGGAAGGGTCCGGTAAATATGCCACATTTACCAGCCCCTTCCTTTCCTGAATGAACACGAGTGATCAGTACTGATCACTCACTGTGTCCATTCAAAACTGAAGCATAGTAAACTGTCTTTGTTTTATGTCACATTTACCAGCCCTTCCTTTCCTGAATGAACACAATGAGTGATCTGTACCAGTCACTCACTGTGTTCATTCACAACTGAAGCATAGTAAACTGTGTTTTTGCTTTTTTAAGGGGGCCCTGCCAGGTTGGCTGTATGGGGCCCCATGGTTTCTATCAGTAGCCCTGCTTATGCAATCCATTGTACAGCAGAGCTCAGACTAGACATGCTTATGATCTAACAAGGAAAATGCTGACCGGAGAAGAGAGCAGAGAGACAGAGAGATGAGCTCATCAGTATGCTGCATCTCTTTTCACTGTCCAGTCACAGGCTGGTGGAGGGACAAGACCTGCATGTATTACTTAGTTGCAGCAGAGTCAGGTCTCCTAACCTGCCAGACCGGGCTGTTCTGTGTGCCAGAGCTGTGTAAATCTTGTAAGTGGATGAACAGAGATTCAAATCCTTTGGTAGGCAAAACAGATCCCTTACATGTACTGATCACTCACTGTGTTCATTCATAACTGAAGCATAGTAAACTGTTTTGTTTTTTGTTTTTTTTTTTTAAGGGTGCACTGCCAGGTTGGCTGTATGGGGCCCCATGGTTTCTATCAGTAGCCCTGCTTATGCAATCCATTGTACAGCAGAGCT